TTCTCCAAAGAGGGAAGTGATTTCTGCTCCAAATATTCGACCACAATTTCAATCAGAAATTGAATAAGCAGAGTAACCATTTTTATAAATTGTTTTTCAGTTCTGGGCTGGAGGAAGTAGGAGGCCAAATAATGCTTGGAGCTATACACACTGCAAATTAAATGCAATTATATGACTGGGTGAGCAGTGTTGCTCAATGTTGTGTAGAACCTCGAAAGGTTACCTTAGGAGAACAATATTGGTTTTTGGAAGATGGTCTAATAACCTTTGAATTATACTTATTTTCTCTGCATCATTTCCTTGATCCATTACATAGACCCAGTGATGATGGAATCTGATGAAAAAATACTTCCAGGAATATTTTGTAGAAAAACCTTTAAAACAGATGCTAACACAAAAACAGGCTCACAGTCCAGGTGACCTCAACTCTGGAATTCAGTGTCTCTTTCAGTTCTCTAGGAGATTTCACCTTGGATGATTGTCTGAAGAGGCCTTTTGTGAGGTGTCCTTTTAGATTAAGAAAAAAAAGCTTATGTGAGACAAGTTTGGGATGATTGTCATCCTCACAGATACTTGGCACAGTCACTGCAAAGAGATGTCCTGGCATAGAAGAGGTTGGTGACATGGGCAAGTTTTCCAGATGAGTGCCAGAACCCCACCCAAAGGCCCAATTTATGATAGATCTCCTTTTAAATGTCTTCCGATCTGAATCATCAGCTGCGTGGCCCCACCAGGAGGCTGGGCTGCAGGGTGAACTGGCCCTGCACCTGCTGGGGCAGCTGTTCCATGAGGAAGGGCTCTTGGTGGCTGGAAGGTCTAGTGGAGTCCTCTGATCCCTGTGTGGAGAGGGCAGAGTCTCAAAGATGGCTCACTTTAATTCCATAGGGACATTCATGCCCAATAAGTGGACATGGTGCCTCTTCTTTGCCAGAAGTGACCCATAACTGCTCATCTCTCTCAGAGCCAGTTATCCTGAGCTTTGGTAGTGATGTGTTGGTAACTTCATTTGCTGTATCTCAATTCCTTATTGTTATAGTATTAGAATAGGTGCTATTCCCAATGTCCTTGGTGAAGATTTTGAGGGGCTTGCTTTTTGGATAGTCCTTTTCCTTCTCTATATTGATGTATTTTTGAAGGAGAGAGCCATTTGTCCTTCTGTTCAGTGAACTGAAAGTGGCCACAAAGTTCCCTGTGGGCCAGCCCAGGACAAATGATCTCATTGCATTAGTACTGCCTTCTCCCACTTTACCCACACAGCTTGCTGTCCACATTTCAGTTAATTATATTTTTTATCTTAAAGTCATAGTTATATTTTATTTTCACCATAACAAATAGTTAATTGAACAGGAAATGATGCCACCCCCACCTCTGCCAGCCTCTTTTGAGTTCTACCTGGCCATCAAATATCAGAGTCTTAATGGATCACACGAATGATGATAGAAATGCACATGTGTTCAGACTAGCAGGAGTCATCTCCTTGGTATTAGGCCATTTTTGTAGGACTTTATCTCTAGTAAGAGATGGAGTACTCCTCCTTTTTTCTAGTGCTTTCATTTTCTTCATCGTGTGTTGGGACACCACCAGCCCTGATGACTACCTTCAGGGCCTATAGAAAGGCAATGTCTCAATCTTGACTGCCCCCCTAGCTGAGAAGTGAGGGGTGGGGGGTTTGTGAAGGAGAGGGCTGCCTGCCTACCCTGTGGAGAATGGAGCAGCAGACAGAGGCTGCTGGGAGTTCAGAGACTGATTTGAATCCAACACTGAATATGCAGAATACTGAGTCCCCCTGGGAGATTTGGGAGAAGAGAAAGGGTACCTTGGGTAAACAAGGAGAAAGCTGTTTGGCCGGTCTGGTCCTGAGAAAGTGGGTGTGTGTGGCTCCAGAGGGTGTTCCTCCTGTGGCATAGCAGGCTGGCTCAGCGTCTTCCCCTTATTGGTGCCAGGCCTCCTTGGGGTGGACACACCTGTCAGGCAGGAGGATCTCCCAGTCTGTTCCCTTAGAGCAGCGGTTCTCAACCTGTGGGTCGAACGACCCTTTCACAGGGGTCGCTTAAGACCATTGGAAAACACATATATGATTACATATTGTTTTTGTGATTAATCACTATGCTTTAATTACGTTCAATTTGTAACAATGAAAATACATTACAATTCATAACAGTAGCAAAATTACAGTTATGAAGTAGCAATGAAAATAATTTTATGGTTGGGGGTCACCACAACATGAGGAACTGTATTAAAGGGTTGCAGCATTAGGAAGTTTGAGAACCACTGCCTTAGAGTCTCCTGCTTTGCTGACAAATGTTCCTGATCTCTCAGTTGCAATAGTTCCATAAACTAGCAGTGTCATTCATTGTACTTGGCCAGCTCATCAATAAGAGACAGAGGACTGGACCAGCCAGGGCAAGGCTCAGTAAAGCAGGAAGGTGGGACTCAGCTAAAATTCCAAGTGCTCTCAATGGAGTCTAACTGAAATAATTTTAAAATTAGTTTTTCATAGAAGTTTATATTACACTCAAATATCCTAGAATCATTTTATAAAAGAGAGTCATAATAACTCTATTTAGTCTTTACTTTCTTTGCCTTTAGCCTCCCGAATAATTCCTCCCTACAGCAATATGCTGTTAGATATGGAGTTCCAGCCATCATTTGTATCAAGATAATGAAAGTCCCATGAAAAAGTTTGTGGAGCCATAAGATAGACAAGTCTGAGTCCTAATGACATCCTTGAGTAAATGCACCAGCCCTGGGCTGCCTACCTTTGGAGTTTCTGTTCTTTGGGGGAAAAGTAAATTAAGGTACTCTTAATCATCAGGTTTTCTTTTACTTGCAACTCAAGTCTTCCTAATACTGTAATTGAACATGGCCTAGAGCCAATCAACAATGGCCAGAGTTAGGAGATGAATGGGATCACGTTAGAACATGGGAACATCCCACCATACTTCGTGTTAGGGAGGGTGGGTAATGAGCATGGAATGTTATTTCTAAGAAAAAAAAAGGTGAAATATAGTAAGCAGATTATTTCATAAATGCCCACTAGAGAGAGCAATTTTTGAAGATCATTCAAGAGTATTGAGCCTGTGGATTTTAGATTAAAAGAAATCTGTAATTCAGAAAGAAGAACTAGAAATATGGGGGGGGGCAAGAGATAATCAATTTGATTCAGATAGTTATTAAAAGAATTTTTCCACCAAACAGCCAAAATCTCTCTAGTTGACCATTTGGATACAGGAGCTTCCTGGCCACCCACCCCCTTCCTATGCAATGTTCTCAACATCCGTTCCAGGAGTCCTAAGAATGTCATGGATCAATTGAAAAGAAGGGGTCATTTAGGAAAATCTTAGGAATAAGATATTGGAATACATGCAGGTGCCCCTCTGTTAAGCAATCAAGGAACAATGGTCATTGGGCTACTGTTGAGAGTAGTCCTCATCCGGCAGCAACAGAAAGGACATTTAACATTGCTCTTGCATACCTGCATCCATGATGATTTCATGTAGTTGGCAACCAGTAACATTAGCAGAAGAGGTGAACGCTGTTTTCACTCATGTCACAGAGAATTCACATACTCTTTTTGGAAAACACATATTTAAAACCTTTTAACTTAAACCCATATCAACATCTTTACAAACTCAGGAGTCAAGAATCAGTTCCCTTTGTCTTCTATATCTATTTAGAGTATGTTTCCTCCCATGTCTAACTGTTTAGCTAGGACCAGGACCTGCTTCTAGAAGTGATAAGATTGAATGAATGCAGAAGGAGGAAAAAGCACATTTGAACTAAAGATACTGGTGCACTGTATAAATCAAAATGTGGGTCCAGACAGGGATGAGGGCTGAAAGGGTAGATTTGTGAGGTACCCACAGATGGAATGATGAAAAGTTCCCAGAAGAACATTTAGAACAAAAGGATGGGCTCAAACTCAGAAGACAGGGCACCTGAGATATTTAGGAACAAGGGAAACAAGAAGTGTTAGGACTTTTGGTGCAATGCCACAGAAGCATGTGGGAAGAGAGTATCATGGAGGACAGTGTGGTCAGTGGATACAGAGTTGCACTCTCTGATCAGAAAACCTAAGTGCTGACTACTGGACTCTGGAAATTGAGAAATCACTGGCTACCTTTGAAACAAGTCACTGACTACCTTCAGAAAACCGGATGAGGTGGCAACTACATTGAAATTGACAAAATATATAGAACAACAATAGCTCATGGTGGCCAGTTATAAGATTAATCTTTTTGTTCCAGCTGGGAGACTTCAGCATGTTTTAATTTTATTTTGTGCCATAAGGAGTGAGACGATAGAGAGAAACCTAAAAGGCAAGAATATACACCACTAGGAAACCCCAGGGCCAGACCCCAGGTTTGTATTTTCACTCTTCTTCCCATTTTAAAGTGGGTCTTGAAATCAGGTTATTTTTACTTTAAAATTATCCTTTGTGTTTCCAGAAAAATTTCTTTATTCATTTATTTTTATCTTTTGACTCCCTTTACCCATTTGTCCCCTCCATACCTCCCCTAGTTCCTGCCCTCTGGCAACCTCCAATCTGTTCTCTTTATTTATGAGCTTGTTTTTGTTGTTGTTTTGTTTTTTAGATTCCACATATAAGAATGAGCATACAATATTTGTCCTTCTTTGTTGGCCTTATTTCACTTAGCATAACGCCCTTAAGGCCCATCCATGTTGTACCAAATGGCAACATTTTATTTGTTTTTATGGCTGAATAATATTGTACTGTGTGTGTATGTATATATACACAATTGCTTTATCCATTCATCTGCTGACAGACACTTAGGTTATTTTCCATGTATTGGCTATTATAAATAACCCCAACACACATGAAATTTCATGTTTCCTGATAATTCATTTTACATTTCTAGTCTCATCATGTATTTGCCTTCCGTATTTTTTGTTTGTCCTTTAAATATTTGACCATTTACTTATTCCTTCATAATGAATGGATATCTATTGATGACCTGCTACTTCCTCTTCTATACTAGATGATGGCAACTCCACAGCACAACACAAGTGCCTTCAAGGAGCTCATGAACTAGGAGAGAAGGCACAGATAAGCAAGCGGTTACAAAGGTGTGGGAAGAATTTATATAACCATGGAGCACAAAGGAAGGGATACCAAACCCAGACTTAAAAGTCAGAAAACAAACAAACAAACAAAACAAACAAACAAACAAACAAAAGAAGTCAGAAAACATGCTTCAGAGGAAAGGAAAGCTGCACTGAGCCTGGAAGTAGGCGCTGCAGGATATGTGTGTAGACACTGGGGTTTCTGTAGCTGCCATCTCTCTTTTTGTCACCAGAATGACCATACTTGTGAACTTAGTTTTTAAAACTTACCAGTTTGCTATTTTGACCAATTACTTCCTTCACACTTTATTCTGTAACATTTAAGAACCTACTCACTGCCCTGGGTTGTGTTAAATGTTATTTTTTCTTTTAAAGACTCATGACATGGAATTCCCGGCTTTCTCCATCGCCATGATTTTTGGAAATGAAAAATCTGCTTTTCTAACATGCAAAGTATTCATCTGGCTCTGCACATTTTTTCTTCCTTCACAATCAACAACTTTCAACATTTAGGTTTCTTTTTCTTTCAAATTGTTCAGTCAATATAATTTACTGGGTGCTTTCTTTGAGCATTCATAATAAATGCTCAGGGACATACAAAGATGACTAAGACTTAGGCCCATTCCTCACAAAATGTACAAACTAATGAGGAATATAGGTGCACAGAGAACACAATAAAGGGAATAAAAGTACTCACCTAAAGATATTTTATTTTAAAGATAATAATTTCTTGTTTAGAATTAAGTCCAGAAGAGAGCCCCTTCTCTCTTCCTTAATCATTAGAGAAATGACAAGATCAAGTAACACTGTAAGGACAGAAAGTTCAGAATTATATAATTCTTTAAAAAGATGTGTTTGTTTTTCTAGTACATCCCAGGTGAGGAGATCTATAAATCAGCCTGAGCATGTCCCATAATTTAAAAGTCAATTCATCAGGTTACCAAAATTTAATAGTGGTATCATGAATCAAATTAAATTTGAAATATATATTGGAACTACAGTGCTACCCATGGGCTCTCACTTTCTACATTACATATTTCTGTAATTTTGGAATAGTTTACAATGATCTAGCATTACATTGTAATAAGAAAAAACTATATGTTTATAAATATGAATGTATGTGGAGCTTCCATTGTGCTAATTCTCTAGACAGGTAGCTGTTAGGCTGCTTTATCAAAATGAAAATATAATGTAATTATAAAAGTTCAAAATATATGAAAAATAGAGAAAATCACCTGTAAAGCTACCATACTAACACAAATGTTATTGACGTTGCTGATGTGTTTCTTTCCTCTCCATTAGTCTGTATATTGTGAGGTTGTTTTTAAATTACTAGATAAAAATATTCCTCAATAATACTTAACCCTCAATAACATTTTTCTCCCTAGCTGGTTTGGCTCAGTGGATAGAGCGTGGCCTAAAGGGTCCCGGGTTCTATTCCAGTCAAGGGTACATGCCCGGGTTGCAGGCTCGACCCCCCGTAGGGGGTGTGTAGGAGGCAGCCGATCAATGATTCTCTCTCATCATTGATGTCTCTCCCTCTTCCTTTCTCTCTGAAACCAATAAAACTATATTTTAAAAAAAGAAGAAGAACATTTTCTTCATATGTATCTAGTTCTGTGTTTTGGCCCAGATGGAATGGTAGAATCATGGAATGTTTACATGAAAAGGTTTTATCTTAAGATCTTAGGACTATCTATCCAGAAATATCCAAACTCACGTATCTTCCAGTAAATAAAATTTTTATATTTTAGATTTACCATCCTTTAGATGGAGGCACATTAACAGTAAGCAAAAATCCAGATTTTATTGGTATTTGTCTCTACCTGCTCACATAGGACCCCAATCTCCTGAAAAGTTTCCTCAAATTTGTTTGGGAGTTCAGGTGATGTTCTACACATATAATCAAAACCAGTTAACTAGTCAACTGGATATTGCTGAGTGACCTGGTACTGCTGCCTCCCCCAGGGTACTGCCATGGAGGTCCTGGGAGCTCTGTCATGCCAAGCAGTGCATTGGTCCCTGGACCAGCAACATTTGGCAGAATTGTTAGAAACTCGGAATCAGACTCCATGAATCAGCATATACAGCTTAACCCCAGGTGAATTATATACAAATTGCAGTTTGAGAAGCATCTGCTTAAAGTGCTTTCTGGGACTAAGGTATGAATTCAATTAGGGACAAGGGCAGGGTTGGGTCACGAAATAAAAGTGACAAATACTGAGACTTTTTGTAATGACCTCTTCCCTTTGATGATGTTATTTATTCTTTCAACTTGCCAAAGTTAGAATCATGGCTCCTTCTCTCAGGATAGCTGTCCCTCAGGAAACTCCCAGGCTCCTCACTGCCTCCTAGAGATCGACTTGGTGACCTGCCACTTTTATGTCACTTCCACCAGACATGGCTTAGGCTAGATCTAAGAATCCACCAGACCATGAGAAATCACATTGCTGCACATGAAAGCTATACTTTTATGTAATAAGTTTTGAGTTCACACCTATTATTTACAAATTATTTTATTATGAGCAATAGGACTACCAAGATAAGTAAAACAATCTCTATTCTAAAAGGAGGCTAATGAAGTGGTAAATGTTGAGGCAGGTCAGAACTTCTGGGAGGCCATTTGAGGAAGGAGCCAAAAGCTTCCCAAATGCACCAGTCTTACTGCAGTGATGAGATACCATTACTGTGTCTAATCCCTACAGCCTGTGTGTGCCAGTTCTCCAGGTGGAACGCCCTTCTTCCATTTCTCTTTCCCTACATTCTTACCCACCTTGCAAGGCCAGTTTCAACTGCTGATTTATCAGTGAAATCTGCCGGAACCCCCTCAGATATATATATATATATGCTTTGCCACTTCAGAACCACCATCATGACCTGTCTTCAGATCAATTATGTGCATTGTAGCCTTATGGGTGGGGGCTATGTCCCTTATAGACAAATAATGCATTTTAGTGAGTCTTTTTAGATTCCCCAAAGGACCTAGCATGATGTGTCATAAATTGTTTTTAAAGAAAAGACTTCATTAAAGCTAATATATCTACTCTGTTATCACTTTTCTATTCAGGAAGTAGATCGGCCCTCTCAAATCATAGAAAAAAAAAACATGAGAGAGAGTGCTCTACAATGGCCTGTATATTAAGGAAAATTAATTTCCACCTTCCCCCATATACACCCTTTTCTCTGATGAGATTGGTTCTCTGGTGCAGAAACAGTGTCCTCATTCGCAAATGAGTAGCTGTTAATCACAGCTGGGCCAAATTTGATCTAGTTTTCAGCTGCATGAAAGTGGCTATCTGCCTACTAGTATTTAAGAAGTCCATTAGGTTGCTGTGTAGCTCAGTACTTTTTATGCCTGGTTTTCTCTAAAGCTGAGATGGAAGAAAAAAAACCGCTCTGTGAAGAGTGCAGTGTTGCTGTTAATAAATTAGCGTCTTTTAAGCTGCACATCAGTGATGCTTATTTATTTATGGTTAGTATCCGTGTTTGAGTCAGTGGGAGGGAGGTTTCAGATCTGATATATCCTGTGTCTTCTTAATAATGGTGGTTATGGTATGATGATAGATGAAACAGCAATATAGTGGCTTGGATTTTGCTGCTTTATGTCCTAATAATTTAGAGCTGTGATTGCAAACTATGGGCTATGATAGGGAGAATCACAGTTCGTTCCAGTGGGTTGCCAAAACTATGGGTATCACTGGTGGTAGACTGAATATTTTCACTCATATTCTATTTTAGAGTTAATGTAGATGTGTTAGGATAGGTGAAAAAGATTGACATTATAATGTCATTTAATTTTTACTGGAAATTTCCTGTGTTTACAGTGTTACTGAATATAAGTAACTAGCATATGGGGTTCACAAATCTGATCATTAAAGAGGCCATTATAGCCAAAGATTAGGCCCCAGCATGTTAAAATCTGGGTGGTTTTCTTTGAGGAGGCCTGGGTTTGAACAACAGCTTGGGCCTTTTGGAAGTCAAAGGGCAAACCAAGGACCTCAGCCTGAACGAAGAAGGTCTCTTTGGGACAACTACAGAGACAGCTAAGTGAGTTTGTGTCAGATTTCCAGCCTTCAAAATCAGCTTGTCTCACCTCCAGTTTCTCCCTATTCTCACCCCTGTCCCAGGCCTATAATTCCCTTGAAGACTCAGTGCAATCTCTGTTTGCCGAATTCTTTGAAAACCAAGCTAATGTGAAGAGGGAAAATGGAAAGGAATTCCTAAAATATCTAAGAAAATGTGGGAATACAATCTGCCTTCCAGTGTTTAAGGTGACTGTGTAATTTGTCATGATGATTTTAATGGGTCCTCTCCTGGGTCTAGAGAACTAAAATATTTGTTACCACCTAACTTTTTGGGTTACCCATAATACACACGCTATTATAGTAACTGACTTTGAGTGCAAGCATCTGTCTTCTTTGTAGCCTCTTCATATCATTTTGAGTAAATTGGCAGCCACTAAATGGTTGCTTAGCTTTTCTCAATGAGCCACACATACCGTGGTCTCTGGACCAGAGCATCAGCATCACCTGGGAAATAATCAGAAATGCAAATTCGTGGATAAACTGAATCAGATGCTCTAGGGTTGGGCTCCAAGGAGCTATAATTTAACAAGCTCCCCAAGTGACTCTAATGCTCAGGCAGATTGAGAAGCACACCTCTAATGACCTCTTCTCAGACATTTAATTGAGATGCACACACAGGTATTTGAAATGGCTACCTCTTCACTGTAATGAAATAAACTCTTTGGCTGGGTTGGACACTTAATAGAACTCATCTAAACCTTAGTGGTGGTATGACATCTAGAAACATGCCTACTTATCTGAGGGGTTCATTTAATTCCAGCTTTATGAAAAGAACTAGTATGGAATTAAACCACCATCATGGAATTTGAAAGCTAATGGAATAGTGCATGTAGCTGTGCTAGATTA